GCCGCACCCACGCCCCCCAGGAACCCCCAAGGCAGCCCCCAAGCCCCCCAGAACCCCCCAAGGCAGCACCCAAACCCCCTAGGAGCCCCCAAGGCAACACCCAAACCCCCCAGGAGCCCCCAGGGCAGCACCCAAACCCCCCCATGAAGTGCTGGGACCCCCTGGGGCAATGCCTGGACCCTATGGGAGGTCCCATGGCAGCACCAGGACCCCCCAGGGCAACACCCAGACACCCCTGGCAGCTGCCAGCACCCTCGGGGGCAGCACCCAAAGCCCCTCTCTACCCCCTAACCCCCCTGGGGTGCTCTTCCTCCCCTGGGCCAGGCTGAGAACCTGCTCCTGGATGCCGACATGAACATCAAGATTGCAGATTTTGGGTTCAGCAACGAGTTCACCTTTGGGAACAAACTGGACACCTTCTGTGGGTCCCCCCCCTACGCTGCCCCCGAGCTCTTCCAGGGCAAGAAGTATGATGGGCCTGAGGTGGATGTGTGGAGTCTGGGGGTCATTCTGTACACCCTGGTCAGCGGGTCCCTGCCCTTCGATGGGCAGAACCTCAAGGTACCAACAGAGTCTTCTGTGGCCCTGGGATGTGCCTGGTGGGATGGGGAAGGGTCTGCTGAGGGAGCTGGAGAGGTTGGATCCATGGGTTGAGGGAGCTGGAGGGGTTGGATCCAGGGGTTGAGGGAGCTGGGAAGGTTGGATCTCTGGGTTGAGGGAGCTGGAGGGGTTGGATCCATGGGTTGAGGGATGTGGAGGGGTTGGATCCATGGGTTGAGGGAGCTGGAGGGGTTGGATCCATGGGTTGAGGGAGCTGGAAGGATTGGATCCATCATGGGCGGAGGGACCTGGAGGGTTTGGATCCATGGGCTGAGGGACCTGGAGCAGTTGGATCCCTGGGTTGAGGGATGTGGAGCAGTTGGATCCATAGGTTGAGTGAGCTGGAGGGGTTGGATCCCTGGGTTGAGGGAGCTGGAGGGGTTGGAGTCATGGGTTGAGGGAGCTGGGAATTTTGGATCTCTAGGTTGAGGGACGTGGAGGGGTTGGATCCCTAGGCTGGGGGAGCTGGAGGGGTTGGATCCATGGGTTGAGGGAGCTGGAGGGGTTGGATCCCTGGGTTGAGGGAGCTGGGGAGGTTGGATCCATGGGCTGAGGGAGCTGGAGGGGTTGGATCCATGGGTTGAGGGAGGTGGAGGGGTTGGATCCATGGGTTGAGGGAGCTGGAGGGGTTGGATCCATGGGCTGAGGGACCTTTAGGGGTTGGATCCATGGGTTGGGGGAGCTGGGAAGGTTGGATCCCTGGGCTGAGGGATGTGGAGGGGTTGGATCCATGGGCTGAGGGACGTGGAGGGGTTGGATCCCTGGGTTGAGGGTCCACAGGGGAACCTGGAGGAGCTGGATCTATTGGCCAAGGGACCTGGAGAGGCCAAGGGGGTTGGTGGGATTGTCCCCAAAGTGTCCCCAGGGGGGTCCCCAGCCTGTCCTGTCCCCAGGAGCTGCGGGAGCGGGTCCTGCGGGGCAAGTACCGGATCCCCTTCTACATGTCCACGGACTGTGAGAACCTGCTCAAGAAGTTCCTCATCCTCAACCCCACCAAAAGGGGCACCCTGGAGGTGAGAGACCCCCAGGGGCACCCCCAGAGGGGTCCTGGGAACACCTGGGACACCCAGATGTGGTCCTGGAGAACTTCAACATGGTTCTGGACCCCACCAAGAGCACCCCAAGACCCCCAGTGGGGTCCTGGGAACACCTGGGGCACCCAAGTGTGGTCCTGGACTTCCCTGGGATTCTCAGCATGGTCCCAGGACCCCCCAGCACCATCTTGAACCCTTCTACCACCCTCCAAAATGTCCCCTGGTGACCCCAGGACCCCAGAGGTGACCTCAGAAAGTCCCCTGGGACCCCCGACATTGTCCAGGACCCCCCCAGAGACCCCTAAGACCCCCTCAGGACCCCCCTGAGACCCCCACCCAGGCACCCTCAGCACAGTCCCAGGTATCCCAGCACCTCCCAGCACCATCTTCAACCCCTGGAGCCTCCTTCTGCCTCCCCCCTCCAGCCCAAAATGTCCCCCCAGGACCCCAGAGGTGACCCCAGGAAGTCTCCCAGGACCCTCAAGCCCCCCTTTTTGTGTGTCTCTCCCCCAGCAAATCATGAAGGACCGTTGGATGAACGTGGGTCACGAGGATGATGAGCTGAAGCCCTACATGGAGCCTGTCCCTGACTACAAGGACCCTCGGAGGACAGGTGGGACCCCCAGGCCACCTGGATCCCCTTTTTTGGGGTGGGGGGGGTCCCCCGGATGCCTGGGTCCCCCTGCTGAGGTGTGTGCCCCCCCTTAGAGCTGATGGTGTCCATGGGGTACACGCGGGAGGAGATCCAGGAGTCGCTGGTGGGGCAGAAGTACAACGAGGTGATGGCCACTTACCTGCTGCTGGAAAACAAGACCTCAGAGGTGGGGACACTGGGGACACCATGGGGGGGACACGGGACACTGGGGACACC